TATACTTCTTAGAATAAATTTAATAAATAGTATTTTGACATCTGTGGAAAACATATCACTGACAAGAAATTTCATTTCCATGTAAGAAATAATATTTATACCAAGGTAAGAATGGATTACTTAGACTCTGAGTGAGAACTTAGTGAGACCAAGACAAAGGATGTCTTATAATTATCACTCAAAAATATTTCCACAACAATCATTTTGTTACAAATATCTTTTTCAATTTCCTATCATGAAATGCAAAGTACTACTGCATTTACTTCTTACACTTAAAGAATGATTTCAGCTGTTCTAATGATATCATTTAAAGTCCTCAGGAAGATCTTGCTTATCCCCAGTGTTAATATATGTTACCTACATATGATAAACAGATAGCAGATGTCTGAACACTCCCCAGTTGGATATGCAGACCTAATAATATATAATATAATAGACTTAATATACCTTACCTATTTGCATTTGCTTCAAATGTACAAAAATACAATACAATGTTCAAAATACCTAATTGGAAATTGTGGGATAACTTATGGTTTTACCATCAGTTCTACCTCAGAAATGTAAAAATCTGTAAATTTCTGATATAGAAACCCTGTGCTTATCGCAGCTAACAACAAACACATAAAATACATAAACATTACAGAGAACAAGGATCAAATCCAGAATACCCCCCTGTTGGACTTCATCAGTTTTGCAATTCTAGGTCTCCAGCAGCCCATGCTCACCTAGAGATTATCAGGCCATTCTCCAAACAAAGGACAGATGGGGACTTGAACATTCTCAAGGCTGGGGTGGACAGCAGTCCAGCTCTTCCTCTCAGCAAGTGCCTTAACTAATCAGCTGCAGCTTACAAAATGTTTGGGTACCTTTTCTGATCTGTCCTTAGGAGAAATTGGTGATTCTGTTTTCCAAACTTCACTGGTTGTCAAACAAAGACCTGAAGTAAAGGTCCAGTAGCTCAAACACTTCTTGGAAAAACCCATGTATAGTCATGGTATAACCATGAGCTCTTTCCTTGGTGTATGTCAGAGGACATTTGTGCTGCTTTAAGGAGTTGCAGGGTCCTGAAAACAAACTCATGGAGTCTGCTTTATTTTTTTTCTTTTTTTTTCCAAGAAGGAAAAAACAATAATCATTTTTGTAATTTCTCTTGACTGGTGACTGATATGTCATCAGGCAATAAAAGTGTTGCTTTCATATTTTCTTGTGGTGCAGTAATCAGTGTAGTTCAATGGAACCTCCAAAATTCAGATCTCTAGATTCATGTAGTTGGAGTTTGCAAAGCTTTGGCTGGTGCTGAGTTTCACTTTGGGCTTCAGGTTTTGTCCACTGGTTGATGGAAAGTAGGCAAACAAGGGCTTGCATCATTTCCAGTCTCAGCTACTCATGAGTGCAGAGGCTACCTTTGATTCCTGATGTGGGTCTACTGCTGCCATTGTGTATTATACAATAAACTGTTTACATAGCAGCCTTTTGTTACAGGTTTTAAATCTTCTCAGGCTGCCAGTTTGAGGCTGAGGCTGCCAGCTGGCAGACAGAGAGGTGCTTGTGCTCCAACTGTTGGAGGTAATTAACAGCCCGAACTGTCAGAAGGTGACAGCAGGCAGAAAGTTCCTGCCCTGGGGTCACAGCTGGATTCCGGCAACTTGCTCCTTGATTTACCAGTGAAACTAATAACGTAAGTAATATTGGTATTAAATTATAAAACAAGGGAGACTGAGCCCAAGTTAGGTTTTCTACCTCCAAATTAACTGGCAAAGAAAATTAGCATTAATATTTTGAAGCAAATAAGCAAGATTAATTCACTTTTTTGGGGGGGAAAAAATAAGAGTCCGCTAAAAATTGGGGAGGGCATAAATATTAGGATGGTTGCAGACCACAATACTGCTGGATTGACATTTTCCTGAAATTGTAGAAAATTAAGCTAATATCCAGTGTTAGTAATCTGAGCAATGATTATTGGCCACAAACTTTTAATTTAAGTACTATACTCAAAACGTCACATTAGATTTACATTTGTAGCAAATAACTGGCTCTGAATGGAAATTTAGAAAATGTTATTTTTGCTGAAATAAATGCTTATTTCTTTAAAAATATATTACTAATTTTTCAGATATTGAGGAATGTGCTTAACTTCAACTTTAAGTAAGAGCATAAGAACATAAATACAATGGAGTCAAGAAGTCATAAAGTGTTCCTTTTTTTTATTGGAAGAGAAAATACTAATTCTTGCTTCTTATAGTCTATGGCAGAGAAAAAAATGCCATCTTTGGATAGTCACGTGTTAAGATGCAAATGGTATCACTGTTTGTGTGTGTTTGTCCTTTGAAATCATAGATGAAAATGACACTGCCAATGCAGTTAACGCTGCTTATGATTAGAGATATTCTTTCCACCTGAATTTTGTTTCTTAATGTTAAATATATGCTTCTGTAAGTTCCTGGTTACTCGGGATAGATAGATGCTTTGCACTGTGTGTGTCCAAATAATTAATCCTTACTCCATCAGACACAGCAGAAGCAATTAGAGGGGTTTAAAGTTTTTGATCTCCATAACTCCTGATATTTTTAAAGTGTCAAATGCCACAGGAATATCTCACAGAAATTAAATTTAATAATATATTTTCTTAAATTTCTTTATTTAATGAGCTCTTAACCAATGTGTCTGAGTTTTCAGTTTAGGGGAATAAGGACAGCTGACCCTGTGGCCACAATTCATTGCAATCCTAAGAAACCAAAAGAAAGGTTTTAAAAAATGTTATAGAAGTAATTTAAATTAAATTAAAAAAAAAAAAAATGGAACTGATGTCTTTTTCTGGCAATGATTTTCTTAACAGTGCTTATTGATCAAGAAGCTATTCTGTTTGTAGAAAACATTTCCTTATGTTTTGACCAGCCTGATATGGTGAAAGAACTTTTCCTATCACGGTGCCTTTTATCTATATGATATCCTACAGCTATCTTCATCTACAATAAGGTGGTGTAAATTGACTTTGAGGAAGCTATGATGATTGATGTTAGCTGAACATTTGGCCAAGATGTTAATTTGGATTGAACTGTCAGTTACGGGAAAATAAAATTCTTTATCTGTATTTTGGCTCTTACGGTGGTTCATACTCTGATCCCAGGAAGGTTTAAGATATTTTCCTATATCCTTGAATGATAAGCAGTAAAGGAGCACAGTGATATTTTCCTACACTACCTTCACACAGTCATTTGACAACTAAGTTCTAGTTGTGCTGTCCCTTTTTACCCAAACTTTGATGCATGAATAATGATGAATTAGGCTATTCCCATTTATGAAGTACTTTGATATGCAAGAGAAGTACTACTAAATTACTCCTAAAAAGTAAAAATGCCTGAAATGATAAGCATTCTGTATAGTAACTCTTATCAGAAATAAGTACACATCTCAGAAGCCACCAGGAATGTTAACAGACAGCACACATTAGAATCCACAAAAAGTAAAAAACAAAACAAAACAAACCAGCCAACCAACCAACCAACCAACCAAAAAAACAGCTAAACGCTGCTTTACCCTTCTGTTATATGTTTGTGTCTCTTGCCAGTTACGCTCTGGAGTCTTGCCTGCTTCATGACAACAGACAAGAAGATATGATGTCTCCCTCTTTGCTGGTGTAGATTTCTTTGTGCATACTCAGGTCTTTATCCAGCCTGAAGTCAGGCCGCTGTTAGAGTCCACCTCAGCACTAGGACTGAGCTGGCTGAAGGTACACGTAGAAAACTCTGGAATGTGTGCTGGAGTTTAACCAATTGTATATGCTCCATAGAAAACTATTGATCCTGAACGCATGAGTTTCCTGAGGAATGCTTTGCACTTCTCTTTGTAACTTTTAAAAAGCTACGGAACAAGTGAAGATTGAGTAAATTACCTTTTTTTAAGAAACCACATCTTGGTGTGGATCAGCCCTCAATTCTTAGGACCATTGAAAGATCACTCCTGAAAGTTTTACTAGCATTTATAACCATGTCATGTTTCAATATATATATTTTTTTAACACCTGATTCCACACCCCTTTAACTTTATAGTAGATTTCTCATAGATAGCAAAAGCAACAAGACCAAATCCTAAGGGAATATTAACCAGGCCAAAAAAAAATAAAACAAATCTATTTTAATAATGTTTCCAAACTTGTAACACAGCCTGTGCAGTACAATTCAATTAAAAAAAAATAATTTTGAGAAAAATGAGAAAAGTGAATGATTTGAAAATTAAAATTAGAAAAAAAAAAAAAAGTAAAAATTACAGTTGAAGTGATACTTAGAAAGCCCGAATTGAATGTGTTTTCTTCAGCTACAGAGACACAGACTTCACACTGAGAGTTCAGCCTTCAGTCCACACAGGATTCTTTACAGAGAAATATGGATTAACCCACTAATAGTAATAGAAGCAATGCATACAGTACAAGAAACCCTTAAATAGATGTAAAAGAGCAATAAACCTCCAAAGGTGGGACTTAAAACTAAAAACTGTTAAACAGCTGAAAACAGAAAATATTTAAAGGCTGTTTAGAAAATGACTTCTAATAAACCAGTAGTACTCTGCATTCAGACTCACAGTATCTTCCGTCTATCCATAGACTACCCTTATTTGTTTTGAAACTTTAATTTCTAAGGTGCACCAGACAAAAATTTTGTGTGACATGAAAATTCTTCCTTTCATAGTTTCTGAAGATAATGATTTTAGCAGTTCATGCTGTTACCAATTTTAACATTTATTGTCCACCATTATAATTCCCTTTCTATTACTTTTTTTTCCTCCATTCTGGTCTACTATTTGCTAAAGAACTCACATCTATGGACAGCAGATGTTGCATGATATAAATTAAGCTTGCAGAATATTAGCTCCTTGATATTGCCTGAATCCTAAATCTACCAATATTGCATGCTGTAGTCATGCTGTAGACTTGACTCCTCTCCAGCACTTCCCTGGGACTTGCACAGTTAACTGCAGAACTTGTCTTCCCAGATGAGACTTACCCAGTGGTTCCAAGCAGGTAGATCTCCTCTTAGTAACTACATTTTGAGAAACACAGTGCAGATTTTTGGTCAGGGGATAAGTTTCTGAAAAAGAAAATAGAGAATACATAAGAGGATGTATTCTTATTTTTTACCAAGAAAAAGAAAACAGTTGAGATTGTGAAGGTGCAAAGGAATCTTAGATTGCAACTTAAGAAAGCAACTCACATTCAATTTTAATTCTGAGCTCTGACAGTGAAGAAGTTTGTCTCAACTATGATGTTTACAATGATCTGAAAATCAAAAAGTAATTTCTAATTACTTTTACTTATTTACTTATTTCTTATTTCTTTACTTATTATTTATTTCTTTCTTATGATAAATATGCAAAAATAAAATGTAGGGAAAAAAAGTCATAAAGGTGGAGACATTACACAGTCAGTACCAGGCCCATGAAGTGTTAAAATGGAACATAAGTTATTCTGTAAATCTATATTAGTAGAAGAAGATGTAAACAAACAATCAGCCTGATAGTCAATAGGAATGAAAAGTAATAGTACTATATAAAGTCAAGAAGGGTTCAATACTCTTTTGACTCATGCCTCATGAAAAATACATAAGATCACAAAGATTCTGTGGACAGGGTAGAACCTCAACCTGCACTGAGTTATAAAGGACTTCACATAGTCTGTGCCTGAATAAAATCCAATGGGTATTTGCAGAAGTGGCAAAGTAATGCTAGTATTATTACAAATTAGAGATGTAAACACAGATGTGGTGTTTACTCCCAAAAGGAGAAAGGGAGAGTCAAGGAACCCTAGGAGAGCTAGCCTGACTTCAGACCACTGAAAAACAAACAAGGCATTTATTTTTAAGCACTTAAAAGATTAATCAGTGAGACATAATGGCTAAAAATAAGGTACCTAGTACAAAGCAAGCTAATTGAAGTTCCCTTCTGTTACAGGGAACAAGCCTCAGAAATAGAATAGAGAAGGAGTAGAAGTTCTGTGTCTTCACTTCATTACAACATTTAATAGCATTTTTCATATAACCTCACTGGAGAAACATTTATTATTTAAAAAAAAAAAAAAAAAAAAAAAAAAAGGAAATTATCTTTTCTACCCAACACTAGACTGCAAAAGAGGCTGGAAATCAGTGTAGGGTTCTACTGAAGTCTGTCTTGAGTCTGATACTGTGTAGTCATTACATTATGGCCTGGATGGTACAACAGGCAGTAAGTTTATTAAATTCTTATGTGATATGAAGCAGGGAGGAGTGTAAGCGTTTTGAAGGACAAGGTTAGAATTCAAAATAAGCATGACAAATGGGAGAAATAGGCTATAATAAATAGAAAGCAATTCAATCAAGACAAATAAAACATTTAAGCAGGAACAATCCGCTTCACAAATACTGGATGAGAAATGACTTGTTTAGATAGCAATCCTACAGAAATGTATCTGGATGTTATAGTGTATCACATGAGTCAAAACTGTCCTAACATTTCAATAAAGCAAATATCTTAATGGGAAATATAACCATAAGAGTTGTATGTAAAGCACACAGCTTTGCAATTGCCCTCAAGATTAATCAAAGTTCATCATCCAGAAAATGATCAGCAGCTAATGAAATGCGAATTTCATGGAACAACTATACTGGATTATTTTAGAAGAAAAAAAAAAAAAAGACTAAAAGGAGACATGACGTAGTGATGCAAAATGTCACTGCAAAGATGATATTAAATTATTTTCCATGCCTACAAATTGGAAGGAAAATAAATAATAAGGTTAATTTGCATTAAGGGTATTTACTTTGGAATTTATTCCTATTATCCCTCTGTAAGGGTAGATTACATGAGCAGGTTGTGGGATCTCCATTTCTGGAGTTTTAAAAGAATAGTCTAGGCCAACTTCTGTCAGGAATGTTTTAGTTATTGTTTATTTTTAGAAATAGTTTGGAGACCAGACTATATGACCTCTCAGGGTCTCTTCTAGGTCCACTTTTTATGAAAATGTGGCTGTAATCTGAAGAGTTGAATACACATAGTATGTACATTTTTTCTGAAATGCACAATTTATTGTATGGATTTCATATCAAAACAAGCAGTCATGCAAATTCCTACCGGAATTGAAAGAACTGTGTAAGAGTAAATTATGTACAGTCCTGGATTAATAAAAAGAATTGTTCCTCCAAAGACCTTGAACTCTGTGCAGTATGAAAATGGCAGCCAGAACAAATTCATAGGGCCAAGTTGTAATCCCACTGCAGTCAGGAGCAAAATTCTCATTGATTTCAGAGGGACTAGTACTTGGCTAGTCTCTTTTTAAGATCTGGCATGAAGTAATACAAAATATGCCACAAGTCCATTGTTATTAAACTGATATAAGCAAATTGAAGCATTTCACATTAATATCTTGTTGTCGGATTGTCATTTGATGGAATTCAATATGACCAGTTTGACAAAACAAAATGCTACTAGCTAAGTAAATCTATCTGCAAGAAATATTTATGAAGAACTCTGAAATCTGAATTCCCTATCGCCTCTATCTCTACAAAATTGTATAAATGAGGAAATAGCACCAAAGACCTATTAGTAATAGTTATTTCCTAATTGCAGTGGGAAGCATCCTGCATGTTTAAATAAATATTGTTAACTCTGACCTCTTGGTTTGCCAGGACTGATAAGGCAATTGTTTGACCTATATGAAGCGCATACAGTATGCATGGACTGAAAGCGGCAGGAAAACAGGAAACAATAAATCAGAAATTAGAGCACTGATTGTTGTAGCTAATTACATCAGACTTCTGCTTAATTTCTCACTCTGTCATTCTAACCTGATTTTCTTTCCAACAGACTTTGCAAATTGCTGGTGTCACGTACATACAGCAAATAATAATCTTTAGTTACTATGATTGACAAATGAATGAGAAAGAGAACATAGTTTATTATGGAAGAATGAACTGTGACACACACCAGATACCTGCTCAGATGCTTTTTTAATTCACTTACCTAGATATGCTGCATGATACATTTTGCCAGGACCACAGGTTTTGGCATCACAATGGCTTAATTGAATTTGTGGCATGGTTTGATAATGCTGGACAAAGAAGAAAAAATGAGTCTATAAAAGGAGAAAAATGGCATAGATTGATTTCCAGAGCAAGAGAGATAAAGTGGTAACTAGAAAATTTAAATCAATTCTGAAAATAATATGCTTAGAATTAGGCAGAATAATCAGCATGTTGTTTAATCTTGACGTTGCTGTCCTCATACATCAGATTAACTTGGTGTCCTTATTATTCTCTCTTTTTGCATTACTCCACTTCCAAACTATACTATCTTTGTTAGTCATGTTTCATCACTGTCGTCAGCATCCTCAGCTGGCATAAATTAACACCGCTTCCTTGAAATCAGTGGAGATGTATTATATACCATAGCTGGGAATGTTTGGTAGAACATAATTATTTTTAAAGTGTCTAAATTCTGCTTCCCAGTTTGATTTGGACCTTCTGATCCAAGTAAAGTTAATTAACACTGTTGTTAATAGTGTCTTTCTGTATGGTGTATGTTTTTCTTTATGCCAGAAGGCTGCTGACATTGTTTTGAGAGGTCAGATCACACTAATATATGACACTTATGTGTAATAGATGCAGAGAGATGCAGTTGTCACTTTCCTTGATGTCTTTTAGAATCCCATCAGCACTAATACAAGGCTAGAAGAGCCAACCAAACTCACTGGAGCAACATTAGAAGGACTAGTATTATATCATCTTTGCCTTTAAGAGACTGTGCCTTGTGTATTATTCTGAAACTGCCCTTACAATGAAGCAAAGAAACACATGGAAAATATATATAATTAAATAAATAAATGAATGAACTCCAGTCTAATATAATGTTTTGTTCATGTGGTACAACCATATATCATATCCTTCCAACCTTATTTTGAATATTAGAAATTATATCCTCCACAATTGTTGTCAAGTCTCCTTAATCCTTTTTCTTTTCTTTTTGTTTGTCTGTTTGTTTGTTACAGGTAACTTTGTAAGGGCCAGCACCTAGAAATTATCCTACAGTCCACCTAGAAATTATCCTACAGTCCAGCTTGCTGAGGTTTTTAGCAACACATTTCCAGAGGTCTTCCATTCTCTCCCTGAAGGGCCACAACATCACCTTAATTGACTGCCACTGTGAAAGGAATTCATATTGGTCTGCAGTGCTCATCGGGGTGTAGGACTCTTTTCTTTTCTTCCCTTCCTGAGAATCATATAAATCTCCTTTCTCCAGAATTTCCTATACTGCAGGGCCTGTCCTTGAGTGCTGCCTTTAGAAATCAATTTCTTGGCACTTATGCATTCATTATTATGTACCAAGTTAAGCATATTCCATATGCAATTACAGGAGTAAATATACAAGTTGCTTTTTGAATCATATTAAATTTAATAATTTACAATACTCCAATCTTTATGCTTTCACAATATAACGCATTTGTTTAGGCTTTTTCTGCCTACCATCTAATGTAATCAACAGTTTATTTTAATTGTTTTGTTGAAACTGCTTAATTTCACTGTCCCTCTGCCTAATTTCTAGTTTTTTGTATTGATAGGCTGCTGATTAGCTTACTAAAAACTGGAAATCAAAATCAAACATTTTGTAAGATATACTGACAGAGAATATGTATGAAAACATAAGATAAAGTATACTATTTAACAGGCATTAAACATTATTGGCAAGACTTTTGCTTTACATGTAATGATACGGCAACAGTCTAGTTGCTGTAGGAAGACCATTGCCTTATCACTACAGATAAAGAAGCAGTACTACCCCACAGCAAAGATTGCTGTTGTCCGAGACATGCCATGTTAAGGCACTTTATATTTCTGGGGAAGCTAACTGAGAACACTGAGGGACCCAGTAGTCTTTCAATGATGTAAGCATCATGTCAGGGTGCTGATATAGCTAGAAGTCCAATAACCTTTGGAGATGCTAACACTGGAGAAGGAGCCCTGTAAAAATTCCAGTTACATTCTGATTTCCCTCATGTTATCTCTACGAATTCCTAGACTTGTTTTGGAGGCAGCCAGTTCATCCATCTCCATATAGAAGACAAGCGTAGTCTTGTTTGTGGCATTGTCAAAGACTAATGCAAGGATAAAACAAACAAACAAACCCTAACCCAAAGTATTTTAACCACAGCATTAGAGCTAGGAAATGCACTGATTATCTCTTTATATGCATGGCAGCTACGGGGACTATTGATGTATTTGGAATGTATTCTTAAAACTACTTCATACAGCAAAGCTTTTATTTTGAAAATGGGTGAGTCCATGTTACCTCTCTGTCTTTTCTGCAGCTTCCTAGTTGAAGAAGCATAAGTACAGCACAATGCTGTTCAATATTTTAACAACAAAGGAAGATTTACAGTGACCAAAGAAAATAAAGAGCCTTCTGACAGCGAACTGTCTTTGCATAAAATAATCTGAAAGAAATATAATATAGGGAAAAAGCTTTTAAACTAACTATACAGACATAACACACATATATAATTATCTTTCCCTAGAATAAAATTATTCTGCAGGATACAGCAGGGATCCACTTTCTTTTTTTCCTCAGAGAGGACTCCATAAGAATAGTTTCATTATGAAAACTGGTTTAGTGGCTTCTGAGTCACCTTTTGATACTCAAAAATGAATAAAAACTGAGGAATTAATGCTCCTGTTGTATACTTTCTGACTGCTGAATGTTAACTCCCACCTGTTTATCTACTAATTATTTTGTCTTTTAACATTAGCACACAAAAATCTGAAACCTGCCCCTCTGCATCAGACTCTGTACAGAAGTCCTATATTAGACCACCCCTTCACAGGTAAGAAAAGCCATTAAACCCTGTGAATTTTCACAGTGGATAAGCCTTGATTAATTTGACACAGGTGTTTGTATAATACTGTGCATGGGAACATTCACAGTGTCCCCTAGCTGTTTCTTCTGTGGTGGTCTAGTCTTAGTACTCTCTGGACTCTAATCTAAAACATGTAAGAGTACCAGCTGGTGTAGGACTTTGTATACAGCTTTTGTTATGCTGTTTGTGTCACTTTGATGTATCCTTTTGCTTTGCATATGAATATGCGTAGAGGTAGGAAGAAAACATGAAGAGCCATGTGCTGTAATTAAGTTACAAACTATTCTCTTCTCTAATTTTATAAAAACAAGTCCTTTATTTTCTACTACATGAGCAAAAGCGTCATTATGAAAAGTGAAACAATCTAGAGGGAAATTTGCCCTCACATATGCCTATGAAAACCCTGCTAAAATCAGTCAGGCCAAACAGACATAAGAGAGACCAGAATCTATTCTCTCTTTTTTTGTTTGTTTGTGCTGTACTTTTAGGTTATTTTATACCTTATTTTAAAGACAAACAAGGAGATGAGCATCAACACCTAATTAATATTAAAGTGGTGTGCAAATATATTAGAAACCTAAGTTATCAGAGCAAGAGCTGCTCAAAATTTTATGAAAATATTTCATTATTTCAGCATCTTTTACTTGATTGAAATACTGAGAAGCACAAAATTTGTAGCTAATGAGTCAAAATGTCAAATTTCTCCACATACCTCAAACCTATGTGCCTGAAGAACATAAACTGTCTAAAAAAAATCATGACTAAAATAGAAGGTATGAGTAGGAGCTCTCATATGCCTAGTCCATTGGAGACACAATAATATATTAGCAAGATCCAATATTCAATGCAACATTGTGGGTAGCAAAGTTTTTCAAAAGGACAAGATGAATCTTCAAGGTCTGATTATCCTCTCATTGCACTACAGATTGGCAGTTAATAGAATTAGGTTGGTTTTAAACATGTGTAACTGAATTGAGCCCTGTATAATCAGAAAGTTGCCATATCACAGACCAATTTTGTTCATACCAATAATCCAGTGAAAATCCAGGGATACATCTGGAAAATCACTTTGTAAGTGAGATGAGAATCAGGCCATGTCTGAAAATTGTAATTAGACATAAACTGAAGGAAGAAAAAAAAACATTTTGAAGTGTCTAAAGCAGAGCTTATCATGTGTTAGATGTGCATCTAGAAGACTGCTTATATCCATTGACAAAGTAATGTAGAAAACTGTAGTCATACTTGTCTTAGGATTGTTTATGAATATATAATGTATACCAAGAATATGCACTTTTTGAGCTAAGCTTAACACCATACCAATACAAATATAAATAGTAAAGATCAGAATAATTCAAGACCATGAACAGAACTATATCTATTATCACAAACTCGGGCCAGGAGACTTTCAGAATGGTAAAACTTACCACTAATTTTAAACACAAAGCTAGTAACCAAGCAGTGGGTAACATTTCACTTACACCTATTGATGATGAAAGCTGAACTTGATTCTAGTCTATTACATACTTCTTTATTCATCAAATCAAGTGTATAAAGCTATCTACAGGCAATGGAAATAACAAGACAGTCCAAATGGATTTAAGGTACTTTACAGATCAGCTGCTGTCTTCACAGATTTCTTTAATTCTATCTGTAAGTAGTTTGGAGATGGTCATTTTTCCAGACCACTTTGTCCTAGTAAATTAATGAACTTATTTACATATTCCAGGGTTTCTTTTAACTCTACCTACAGTGAAGGAAAAAGCAGTCTTTTCTACCTGGTCTTAAATGATAGTTCCTGGAAAGATTTGTATTCCAAATTTATACCATCCCTTAAGTGAGATGCCTCATCCTGTCTTTAAGATAAGATTCCAGGCATTGCTTGGATACTTGGATATAATTTATTGTAGCCACACAAAAGTCAGATCTAAATCCTTTTGGACCATGATGCCACAAACCAGCAGTTCAAAGTTCAAAGAGGGAGGCCGACACATGCAATTAAGTTATCACTGTTGGGATAACTGTAACCCTTGCTGTGCTTTTAGAGCTTCTGGGATCCTGAAGATTGTGAAATGTTAAAAAAAAGGAAAAAAGAAAAAAAAAAAAAGCTTTCTCCTCAACACTACCCTATATTTTCATTGCGTAAATCACAGCAGTTGAAGTAAAATACACTCAGTGAATGATTTCCTGCCACTAAGGAAAAA